TATCACATGCGAGGAATTATTATTTATTTATTTTAAAGATAATTTACATTATGTCAGTAACAATTCTTTGACCAAATGTTTAACAAAAACACGTGGGTGTTACAGTATGACATTGTCGTCACGCCACACCTTACATTATTTAGAACATTGATCGTTATGTTTTCATAAATAACTTGAATATATATATATATATATATATATATATATATATATATATATATATATATATATATATAATATATATCATTAGGAGTTATCTCCTAACTAAATCTTTAGAATTTATATGGTTTCCCAAGTTAAATGATTCATATCCTAATTATGACTCATTTAGGGTTTATGTATCATTATAAATACGATATTCGCCATATAATTAAAAGAATTTTGAGATTTTAATAAACTTTATGAAAGAATTTGTGAAATTTCTTAAGAACATAGATTGTTCTTGTTGTTATTTACTACCGTTAAGGTTGATCGCTTTTTTTTTTTTTTTTTTTGCATCATTTGGTATCAGAGCTCAGATAAGATGGTCGATCATGGAAGATCTCACATACCTACAAACCATGACAATGTAGGGGCATGAGGATGAAGTAACTAGCACTTGAAACTCGCACGATATACAAATAATACAAAAAAACATTATGACCGAATACTTGAGACGACGAGTGCATGAACTCGAGTTGTTGCATCAGGACTCGCCGGGAGAAAAGACTAATTCAATACTAAATGTTTGAGATGACGACTACAAGGAGGTCAATTGTTTTTCTAGGTCGGGATTAGATCACCACGAAGGATGGATACAATTACAATCCATCAAGGAACATTGGTGTGAAGGTTTGGTTTCATGAGTTAACATGACATGCTCACCCTGGTCTTATCCTTTATAAATATACACTTAGACTTTGTTTACATTTAAACAAATTGTATGCGGAGAGCAGGATGCAAGTGAGATCGATCCATTTTGTGATACCGAATCCGTGTATGATACAAAACCCGCCTACTCCGTGACACCGAAATTGGAGACGGAACTATTCAAAAATAAGTTGGTGTTGAAAACCATATATTTTTTCCAAAGTATGTGATTACAAAAACCGGTGACTATAATGTACACAATGGGTTTTAATGGTTTTACATATTTCATGAACATAATATTCCACCTAATGATATGCAACAAATCACATGTGAAACATCCAATGAGCACATTGATATAACCTTTGATCATGAGTGCTTTTCTGTTAAGTGCATTTGTGTTTGTTTTGAAGTATAGACGTGTTTGCCTTTTGGAAACTTTGGACGAGAGGTATTTGTTTTGAAGACTTGAGGACGAGTCATTTGCAAGAAAGGGAGAATGATGCAAGGAGTTTCAAAGATAACTTAAAGATTTATTTTTATCAGTGTTATTATTTTTCAAAATTTTCTTGTTCTATTGAGATTTGTCCTAATTAGGAATCGTCTCACAATTGGATAAAATGTTAAAAATTTATATTCTTTCTTAAATTAGATGATTCATACCATGATTAAGATTTCATTTTAGGGTTCTAGATTATTATAAAAATGATAGCCATCGTAGAATTAAAACGGGTTTGAGGCTATAATAAAGTTTATGAAATAATTTGTGGAAATTTTTAAGAACATATTCTTGTTGTTCATTGCTATCATTGAGTCTGGTTATTTTTGTTTCATGTTTATTTTTGCATCACATTATGGCAATTTGAAGTAAAATTTATGATTTAGGGTTGTTAAAAGCTTTGTTGTCATATATGGAAGTTATTAAATCTCATTTGAGGCTAAACAATTGTTATGTGTTTTTCAAGCGATTGTATCATCACTCTTTGATCTTCGTATAATCATGTTTGGAAGTGAAAATCAACATAATGAAGTGTTAATACACATTTATGACCCTTGAAAGTGGTATGGATAAGCTAGGAATTGTTTAGAACAAGGTTGGATATCCTTACATATCAAATCACTTGAAAATATTGTTCAAACACTTAACTTGGTAGAGTTAGGGCTATGCCTTAGGTTGACTCAATCGAGCATTTAGCTGTTAAATGCCAAAAATAGGCAAACTTGTTTTAGTCACTAGTTTTGCATACACACTTCAAATTTGGTCCAATTTTACCTATGGTCTTTTAAGAACTTACAAATGATTTTAAACCATATAATTTCATATTTCGAGTTAAAAACTTAATAAGTTATTTAATAGACCATTGAAGGGTATTTGACAAAACTATTATTGTAATTAGATAATCACTAAGTCCACTAACAAATATAGAAGGGAACTGAAGTGTGTAAGGATTTTCTAAAAGACTTCAGGTAAGTAAATACCAAAAGTACATGTCCTTATCATCTATTCTTGATAGATGTTTTGGTTTAATTATAGAACTGTTTTTTGTTATATAGTTAACTACATGTATGTTGATGCAATCATGAAACATATTTTGAAAGTGTGTTCACTTGGTGATCATCACATTTTGTTTGGAAACTTTTTATGCATCCACATTGTGCATTTCACTTAGGATGAATTGACTTGAGTGTTTCTCGAATAGGTGTGGACTTAACTTCCATTTCGTTTGCGTGGTGGTTTTGGTTTTCATCCTTACAGGACTGTTAACTTAACGTGCTTAAAGATGGACTTTGCAAACCCATTTTATGGTATCATGTGAGATGATTACATGTCTCAAAAATGGTTGTTTAATGTTGGGGACTCTAAACGGTTTGTGGGTGTGATGTAGCTACCTTATTCATGTTATTAGACCACCGAGATCCTTAAAATGAAAAAGGCTTGTTTCATAAACCTTTTAGTTTATAAACACTACTTCCTCATAACTCTTATATAGTGCCAATTCTTGTTTGATCAATCTTTTGGTTTATGAACACTACTTCCTTATAACTCTTATAGGTTTCCATAGTTGTAATTGGTATTTCATAACATGCCTTACAAACCTTGATTGCATGAATTTGATTATGATATATATTCATGTGCCATTAGTAGTAACGTCAACCCACTATCAATATACATATACTATAATATATTTTATGTTGTAAATTTTATAAATTTGTCTAAAAACCCTAAGGGGAGAATATAATTACATAAAATTTATAATGATTCATTTGACAAATGGTATCATCATGTAAACACAATGTTCATGATAGATTTTATTGGAGCCAATTATGACAAACTTCTTTGCATAAAGAAGATCACAATAACTCACAACACAAAGGTGATAATGTACGTATGTATGTGGATAACTAGAAGAATCAAGTCGAAAATTCATCTATCCATTCGTTTTATTTTTCCTCATTTACATTATTTTTGTAATTCTTAATTGTAGTTGGGACATTGTAACTATTGTGTGTTCATTTTAAATAAGTAAAGTTCGTGTTTGCTTACTCCATAAATCAAAATTTCGGCCTTTAAATTAGTCTCGCTTGCACATATTCTACTTAAGATAGTCGTTACAAAATCATTAAGATATTGATACTATATGTCGTCAGACATACATATATACAAATACGTTATACATCCATTATAACTACATCAAGCCGAATGTTACCATAAAAGTATACAATACTTGATATAAATACTTTAGCCAATACATATGCAAACCAATAGCCTTATTCTCTTAGTTGCTTATTTCTTCGATCATATGCAAACCTAGGGTGGAATTGGTACGGTATCAATCATTTTTTCACTAAACCGTGTACCGTACTAATTATAATTGGTATAAAAAAATTTCTACCACTAGGGTACCGTGTACAGTTGGTACCAACCTGTTTGGCTACCAATAAGTTTGTTTGGTAAATGTTTGTAATGATATATACCAACATGTATGACGTTTTTGCGAATCACGATTTCCGTGTTCTCGAGCATTGTGAAACATAAACTAAGTTTTGTAAACAAGACTTTTGTAATGGTTGTGATTGAAGATTGGCTTCATAATGATTTTATTAACTTCTACCATTAGTTTATAAATTAAAGCAGTGGAGGAAAATTAGACACACCAACATGAGTTTAAACTTTATAAATATGCTAAATGCTAATATTTAAGCTCTTAAATCTTAAACACCAAACATACTAAAAATATATATATATATATATATATATATATATATATATATATATATATATATATATATACTTTATAAATATGCTAAATGCTAATATTTAAGCTCTTAAATCTTAAACACCAAACATACTAAAATTATATATATATATATATATATATATATATATATATATATATATATATATATATATATATATATATATTTATCAAATTGATTAGTATTGTACTACCGTGGTATTGAAAATTTTATACTACTATCATACCATGATTATTCGATTGGTATAGTAGTATCAACCAAACATATGGTTGCTAATATTCTTGTTTCGGTTGGTAACAAATTAATTGAATTTTCGTGATATATTTTTGCCGGCCCTATGCAATCCAATAGCCACAACGTAACACCCTTTTTGATGTTAATGTGAATAAAAATATCTTACTTTGAAAGTGAATGTTATTTTTCTATGTGTGATTAGTAGTATAATATTGCTTTTTTACGTTAACAAGCTTGAACATAATAATTAAATATTTGTATGAATTTAAATAAACAAAAATAGAAAGTCCTTAGAAAATTATAAACATTACATTTCAACGTAACTATATCAACAAACATAAAAAACAATAATATAAACTATAGAAAAGTGAAAAAGTAAATATATAATACACTATTTCTTTATTATTTATTTGAAATAGTTATTTTGAATTTAACATGATAAATAAATGTAACGTTAACGTATACTTTTCTTAATAGAAAAATATTTGTAAGTAACATATACTTGCGTAGCAATTGGTAAAGTGTGAGATTTGGGGATGAACTGGCAGGGACAAAAAAGTAATAGTTCACATATAAAACGCGATGATGCATTATGGAATGATGATGATGATGCATCATGGTTGATGGATGGATCATGATAACACATTAAAATTCCATACATCATGCGATTGAGAGAAGAAGTGGATTTGACTTCCTTTGATGAGAGAGAGAATAGAAAGGTAAAGAATGGAATGAGGAAAATTCAATCGGATACAATTCTACTTTGACGTCCGCTAGGAGAACAACACACTCTCTCTCTACTTTCTCTCTCTAAACTTACAGCGAAGAACAGGAATTTCCTCTCATATCTCCAGAAAGAGAAAGATTGAAGACAACCTGTCACTGAAGAAGGTTGAAGTTCTATCAAAAAAAACCCTAGAAGTTTGCACACGGAAGACTACCTATTATGTTTGTCTATGAAACAAGGAGAATAGAAGAAAAGTGAACAGTAGACAAGTGTCTCCTGGAGCAGAATTTACATCGCCACTGAATTCGTTACTCTGGTGCGTATTCTGATTATGTAGTTTCCTGAATGTCTTTTTATTATTGTTGCTTTGTTAGATTATTTTATTGAAAAGGTAAGCTGTTTTTGATTGTAACCCTAGCTAATCACACTCAATTCAGTTCTGAATCGAACTTTCTTTTTCTTTTCTTCGAGTCATGCTCTGAGTTGCATTTGATATGCGAAGCTTATTGTTAACTGTGTTTATTTATTTTTTAATATTAGCTTAAATCGTGTTGCTATTTCTGTTAGATTTTCGTTGTTTAACTGTTTAGGTTCTCGAATGAAAGCTTATTTTAGTTATCTTATCGTTCTATTCATCGTCAATATTTAGTTTTAGCTTCTCACGTTTTCCGATTTGAACGTTACGCATATCAAGTTGTTTCTAATTTAGTTGTGTGGGGAGAATGGCGTTAAAAGAGTTAGCACGTAATTTGTGTGTTCAAAGGCTGGATACTGTTAAATGCGTACTTTATTTTTAGAAGAATATGTGTATGTTAACAGATTTACAATTATGCAGAGATCAATGAGAGAGCTCACTGAAGATTGGTACTTTCTAACATCTAAGACAACACTAGGATGTTCAAGGCTAAACCTTATCTTGGAATTTTCAGTAATAGACTCCTGTTTGTTAACATTCAACAATATAAGCCAGTTGTCAAGAGTTTCCACTCCTTTTGGTGCACAAAAAGGACTCAGGAGTGCGAACAAACTGCCAATTGCTTGATGGTTTGAGTGATACCTTACATGCTTACTTGTCTGATAGCTCTCTCAGTGTGTTAGATCCTTAGGCTCAAAAAATTTTGTGAGTTGATGTCGTTTTAGGTTGTACCTGTTATTTAGAAAAGTTTTGACAGTTTTTTCTTTTGGAAGATGGTACCTCCAGGGCCACCCACTCCACTTGCTGGTGCGCAGTCTGTTCCATCTTCCTTGTTGCGGTCAAATTCGGGTTTATTGGGTGGTCAAGGGGGCTCTATGCCTTCTCAGTCCGGCTTTCCTTCCCTTGTTTCACCACGCACTCAGTTTAATAACATGAACATGCTTGGAAATGTGCCAAATGTATCTTCCCTCCTTCATCAATCCTATGGTAATGGAGGGCCAAGTTCAGGGATGTCCAGCTCCGGGAACACCCTCAGGGGTATAATTGACAATGGAGCCGACACTGATATTTTGTCCAACATAGGAAACGGGATGGGTTTCAATGCCCCTTCTTCATCTCTTGGTCCATCAAATATGGTACACTCAAATGCACCAGGTCAAGGTCAAGTCCCTGGTCAACATTTTCCAAATTCATCCGGGAACCAGATCTTGCCAGATCAGCAACAGGGCCAACAGCGTGAACCCTCAAACATGCGACAGACTCAGCAGTCTTTGCAGCAGTATGGTGTCCCCAACAATAACCATCAACAGCAGCAGTATCAAACCAGTCAAGGCGGTTTAGGTGGTGTTGGCCAGGTGAAGATGGAGCCACAGGTGGCAAATGACCAACACGGGCAAAACCCTCAACAGATGCAAGCCTTGAGAAACCTTGGTCCGGTTAAAATGGAATCACAGGTTCAAACCATGAGAAACTTACCACCTGTAAAAATGGAGCCCCAACACTCTGACCAGTCATTGTTTCTGCATCAACAGCAACAGCAACAGCAGCAGCAACAACAACAGCAGCAGCAACAACAGCAACAGCTGCTTCACATGTCCAGGCAATCTCCTCAGGCTTCTGCTGCACAAATGAATATGCTGCAGCAACAAAGATACTTGCAGCTACAACATCAACAACAACAGCAGCTTTTAAAGAGCATTCCTCAGCAACGCACCTCAATTCAACCACAGTTTCAACAACAAAATTTAGCAATGAGGTCAGCTGCAAAGCCTGTGTATGAACCAGGAATGTGTGCAAGGCGGCTGACTCACTACATGTATCAGCAACAACATAGGCCTGAAGTAAGACTTGCATAATTAAAAAACACGTTAGTAGACTAAGGTAAAGTTTGGAGTGTTTTAATGTGGTGTTTATTCTCTATTCTTTTGCAGGACAACAACATTGAGTTTTGGAGAAAATTTGTTGCTGAATACTTTGCACCTAATGCTAGGAAGAAATGGTGTGTTTCTTTGTATGGAAATGGACGTCATACTACTGGAGTTTTTCCTCAGGTGAGTTTGTATATCAGCTATGTCAGAGACTCGATAAATATCAGCAATGTTTGGTTTTAAAGATAACTTTATGATCATGCAGGACGTATGGCACTGTGAGATATGCAATAAGAAACCAGGCCGTGGCTTTGGTATGTGTTTTTTGTTTTCCATCCCCAAGTATATTAGTTTTACAGTTGCTTTGTGTCTTTAGCTAATTAATATGTGTGAATGTATTTTCAGAGGCTACTGTGGAAGTTCTTCCCAGGCTTTTTAAAATAAAGTATGAAAGTGGGACACTGGAGGAGCTTCTTTATGTTGATATGCCTCGAGAGTATCAGAATTCTTCGGGTCAAATTGTCCTGGACTATGCAAAAGCCATACAAGAAAGTGTTTTTGAGCAACTGCGGGTTGTACGTGATGGTCAACTACGGATTGTCTTCTCTGCAGATTTGAAGGTTTATCATTTATGTTTGATATTTGTGTCATAAATAGGTGGATTTTGCTTGAGTACATGTGTACTAAATCGTTTTTCTGCAACATGCAGATATGTTCTTGGGAATTCTGTGCTCGGCGCCATGAAGAGCTTATTCCTAGGAGATTGCTGATACCACAGGTACTGATGATAATTTTTTTTGGAAAAAAATGCAAGAAACAACAATGAACCTTACAGATTTATTATTATAGCATTGTTCTTTCATATCTTTTTATTACAGCACTGTAATTCAAAAAATATAGTTTCTTTTAGTTATCACATTGCTATAATGTGTAGATTTGTCAAAGTACAATGCCCTAATAAGAAATAATTTAACAGTAAAGTTGGAAGTACAATGCTATAGTAAAAATAAAATATATATTGCTATTTTGTTGATATATTTGTTAATGTTTGATAATACAAACAAATAAGTTAATCTATACTGACTACTGAGCTGTTGACTTTCTTTTACAGGTTAGTCAACTTGGTAACGCAGCTCAGAAATACCAGGCTTCAACTCAAAGTGCTTCATCAAGTTTATCTGTACCAGAATTGCAGAACAATTGTAATATGTAAGTCTCAAACTTGGTTTTTTTTTTTTACCTTTAATGTTTTGATGATTTCCATATCATATGTTTGTTTCACTGTATGTTCCTATGATGCTCTTTAATTCTCTCTCCACATATCACACACGGACACAAATCTCTTTGCTTTCTATTTACAGTTTTATAAGTTGTATCTGACAACAAAATCATTTGGAAGACTATCGTTTTTCAATAATAAAGCTATATCTTTATACAAAAGTAGTATATTAATCAATGTTGGTAATTATTGTTGCAACTTTGTAAGATTTTTACTTTAAAAGTAACTGGTATGCATTTAGATTTTTACCTCTAAACACATACTCACCTTTGAATTTGTTTGTTAGTATCAAGATTTTTAAAATATATAATCTTTCAGGTTTGTTGCTTCGGCTCGTCAATTGGCGAAAGCATTGGAAGTTCCATTAGTTAATGATTTAGGGTATACAAAGAGATACGTCCGATGCCTTCAGGTAATCTTTTTTTACAATTGGTTTTTACTTTTTACGTTGTTCCTTCTTCTACTTGTTACATAACATGATATTTTACTGGCTTTTTCTGCAGATATCAGAAGTGGTGAATAGCATGAAGGATTTGATTGATTACAGCCGAGAAACTAGGACTGGGCCTATGGGTAAGCTTGTTAAATTTGTTTTACTGAAAGGTCAATAATGTTTTAATTTGCACACTTGTATCATATTTAGTAACTGTGTAGATATTGTTAAAAATATATTAACTGATCCAATAAATGATCCAGTAAATCGAGTTATTTATGACTGGATCGATTAAAACCATCTAGATTAGATCCATTTAAACACAAAACATCAATAAAGACACTAAGTAATTTTGTATCATACAAATCTCTTAAGCGACTTAAGTATTTGGATAAAACCTATATTTTCTCAGGACACTCGTATTGCACAATTGATGGCTAGCTTTTTACCCTTGTGGTTTTGGGTTTATTTACTTTTAAAGTAATTTATTATAAAGAAATTTCCAAAAATATTAAACACTTATGCTATATTAACATAATGAAAATCTACTTTGTTATCTATTTTAATCCAATAAGATACATCAAACTTTACTTTAGCATATTAAATTTTGTAACTTCGGCACTATTAAATACCTACAATTGCAATTTCTTTTTACAGATTTTTGTATGTTTTTATACTATATTATATAAGTTAAGAACCAATAGTAAATATTGATAATTTTGTGCATATAGTAGTTCATAATTTATCAAATAAATAAAATTTTCCATTATCTTGTGTGTTTGTATATATGTATATGTATGTGTATGTGTGTATGCATGTTTGTGTGTGTGTGTGTGTACACACACACACACACATATATATATATATATATATATATGTATGTATGTATGCATATCTGTGTGTATACATATACACATTGGTTCTCGTTAAACAACACAATTTTTTTTTTGTTTTATTTATATTAATGTTCTCATCCTCTTTGTTCATGATCACCAATCTCGTTTGCAGTCTATATCTTTATACATGAAATCCAGTAATACATAATTCATCTTGGGATGCTAAAGCATAAACAGCATTGTTGAAGGTTAATCATATGTGTTGCTATACATAGTAATAGAAAATGTAACAAATAAATAGCAAAAACGTTGAAATATACATATACAAGTAATGTAATGAGTAATAACAAATAAAGTTTGCGAAACATTTACGACCGACGTAATAAACACAATCACGTTATTTGAAATATAGATGTAAACAAATTAAAAAACCAAACACAATGAATTTAATAAATATCTTACCTAGAGATAACTAACATCCGTTTTTTATTCCTGAATTATCTTAAAACTTATATACAATGAGTTTAGTAGATTACATGGCCTTCTTAGGCAAACTATAATGCATTTAAGCTATAAAAAACAAAGAATACGACGGACAAAATACTCTTTCTATCGTACAACAATAATATTTAATAATATTCTCTAAATAACTAAAATTAAATTTAAAATATACCATTAAACCAAACATAAAATTAATAATATATCAGAAAAGGTAGCCTTTTAAAAAACATTTTCTTTGTTTACGAAACCGAGTTGTTAACGTATAGATTTATATGACCAAATAAACATATTTGACACAAAACCACTCACTTGATGTTTGTCATTCTCTTCTTTGCTCATCATAGTTGATCATATCTTTTTTTCAACTTAAGATGATTATCTCTGCTTGGCTTCATTTATAAATGCAGTACAAGTTACAACAACAAAGAATCAGAGTTTTTTATTTGGTCTAGCCAGACATAATAGTAATACGATTTTATAAAACAAATATCATAGTGTATAATAATAAAAAAACATAAATAATATCAACCAAAAATATATTTTTATCAACTTCTCTTCATCCTAAGACCCTTAACTATTGGTTTGAGCAATATCATCCCTTCTCTTATGAAATGGTAGTCAGTAATTCAAAAAGAGTTAATCTCGTATACCATATAACTTATTAAGATGTAAAAATGTAGCCAAATTACTTGCATATGAACATGAATGATTTACTAATGATAATCAAGTTATAGAAAAATTACCTCTTCTTTTTTTTTCCTCTCGTGTGATGCTTTACATGGACTTGGCTTTGTTTGCTTTCCTTATTCTAACTGCATTCTTCTTTAACAAATGTATGTAACTTCTTTCAGCTGCATAATTAATATTGTTAGGTGCAACTCTTTCTGTTATGAAACATTAAATAAAAATACAATTTTACAAAAAAATTATACATTGCAATATGTTTTTTCTTTCTTATTGTTTCATGTTTCATTTTTTAAAAAAGTTAGCCCGCACATTCAGTTCATGAAGAGTAAAACATTAAGTGCATGAAGGACATACCATTATCATTTTCTGCAACAAACTTGTGAAATTTTCTGTTGAAATCTGCTATACAGTAAAGGGAAAATTATATAAAAGTCATTATATGTTGGCCACTTTTCTGGTTTAATTACTGTGAATCAGTTTAATCTAATAAAGCCATCCAATTTTGATGCTTTTTTCAAATTGACCACTAATAACCTTCTATAGCCGGTTCCAGATTTTTTTTTTGCTTATGTCATTTTTAATGAAAACCAAAATGTAGTGGCTTTTATGTATTTTGCCATTCTTTTTAAAAGTGACATAAGCAAATTAACCTGGAAACCTGCTATAGAAGGTGACAGTAATCGATTTGAAAAAAGTGTCCAAATAGGGTGGTGGTTTTATTGGAAAAAATTGATTTTGCAAGCGGTGCAACCGAAAGTGTCCAAAATATAGTGGCTTTTATGCAATTAAATAAATGGACATATGGATGAGTAATTTGAAATATATTTTCTTTCATACATACTTGTAGAGGTTTATGTTATGCAATTGATCATATAATAGAATATGATGTAGCAAAAGAATCTCTATGCAACAAAGTAGAAAACCTATTTCCCATTGTTTTTGAATAAAACATATATAGTATTAATGATAATTTCCCATGTTTTTATTTTGTGGATTTTGTGTATGTGAACACCTATGATAATATGTATGAACATATACTATCGCTTATATTAATCCAAAAGTCATGCATGAAAAGAAAAGCTGTGAAGGGGTTATAAAATTCACATATTATTTTTGTCCTTGACAGAGAGCTTAGCAAAATTTCCGCGAAGGACATCTTCAACAAGTTCGTTTCACAATCAATCCCAACAAGCGGAAGAACAACAAAAGCAACAAATGCATCAAACAACATCAAACAACGAAACATCTGCTATGCATATCACATCCACTAATGGCATGCCAAGTGTAAATAACTCTAACTCGGCACCCCCAACTCCTTCCAGCAGCACCATCGCCGGCCTCCTCCACCAGAACTCCATGAATTCCCGCCACCAAAATCCATATGCCGCTGCCGCCGGCGGAATCCAGATTCCCTCCCCTGGATCCTCCAGTACAGTTCCACCCCCACCTAACCCTAACCCTAACCCTTCCCCTTCCCCTTTCCAATCCCCAACGGCATCACTTTCTAACAGCGCGATGGCGGTGTCGGTCCCTGATGCCGATGCCAACGACTCGCAAAGCTCGGTCCAGAAAATAATACAGGAAATGATGATGTCATCACAACTGGGAGGTGGTGGTAATGATTCGGGTCTTGTCGGGAATGGGAATGGGAACAGCATCATTACGAGCGGTGGAATTGGGGGGATGGGTGGTCATCAAGCGGGTATGATGAACGGAATGCGAGCTGCAATGGGCGGTCATAATTCTTTGAGTATGAACGGAAGGGTAGCAATGTCAATGGCAGCTAGGGACCAGATGATGAACCATCAACATCAGCAACATCAACAACATCAGCATCAGCATCAACATCAACAACATCAACATCAACAGCATCAGCAGCAACAGGATCTGGGGAGCCAATTGCTTAACGGTCTTGGAGCTGTGAATGGGTTCAATAATTTACCTTTTGACTGGAAACCATCTCCATAAAAAGTTACATTGTTCAAACTATTCTATAAAATGCAGTGGGAGATTTTTAAATCAAAAGGTACACACTGGCATAGTGGCATGCATGCATGATGATGATGATGATGGTCATGGGGGTGAGATACAATATATATTATATATTTAGGGACTGGACAAAAAGAAATGAAAGGAAAGAAAGTAAAGTAAGTTGGTGTCCTGCATTGTACTACTAATTCCAGAGATGAAAGGAAAGATATAGCATGATGGGAGTCGGTTCTATTTTTCATTTTCTTTTTTTGTTTCTGGTTGATGATTTTTGTTTTTTTTTTTTTTCTTCTTTGCATGGGAATGGTTTTTTTCTTTTCTTTTTCTTATGTTGGTTGATTTTGTTGGGATCTGGGATACCTTTTAATGATTGGAAGTGGGGTATGGCGCCCCCTAAAGTAATGTTGTTGACAAGGAAAAGGGAAGTATCAGCAGGTGGGGGATGGTTTCTGCCCGATACACTCTTTGTAGTAGTATGATGTCTGAGTGCTATATCTCTCTGTCTCCTATCTCTTTCTCCACTAGAAGTGAGTGTATATATTCTATGGAATGTTGGAGCAGTTTAATGTAGAATTTAGTATTTTTCTTGCTTCATATTTTACTTGATTCATACTCCCTTTGTAGCCAAGGATTCTCTTATGTTTGCTACGCAGGACATGACATGACAAAACATGATTGATTTGTACTGCATTTGGCATGAATTGAATCGATACTAGATTGGATTTTTCTTTGTTCCAACCAAAGGCTTGTTTTCAATCTCTATATGTGAAAGTTGTGAATGCATTTAATCCGCTCATCCTAATCATCAAAAATAGTCTTAACAAGATGATCCAGTATTGAATGTATTGTCCTTGTCCTGTGTAACAAACAAATATGGGTTTTTGTTTGCTTGGGGGTATGTTTGTAGTCTTATATAACTCCACATTGATGGAGACAAACATCGAAGCAGTGTCATCTTACATGGATAGTTTAGGTTTGTATATGACTAAATCTCAATGGCAAAGAAGGTGGAGGGGCTAAATAATTCACTCATCTATCATAAAATGTTTGGGACTCGTCACTCGTCAGTCTGAAAAAGTAAACTACAACAAATCATGGAACATTCAAGTGTATTAATTATGTTTAATATGCTGTCGAACAAAAGTAATATTATTACTTGAATTAATTATGTTTAATATGCTGTCGAACAAAAGTAATATTATTTATTATGTGGGGCCGGGGCCTACATTTTGCCAACTCAAAATGTTATTATTTTATTGAGATCTTAATAGACATTGGGTCATAACGCATAAAGGTATTGAATACCATAATATTATAAATATGATAGGATAGGTACGTAAATAATTAAATAATAAGTAAATAAAACTAGTTAAACCATTAAGTCTCTTCATGAAATCACACCACCAGGTAGGCATGCACAAACTGGATTTTTTTTTTCAAACCGAACCGATTCTTTAAACCGGTTCGGTTCACTCCATAGCCAAGGAAAACCGGTTCAGCCTCAAACCGGTTGGGTTCGAACCGATTCACTCAAAAAATTAATCAAATCTGTCTAAACCGGTTATACCGGTTCACACGATATAAATCGGTTCTAAACCAGTTTCAATGACAAAATTCTCGAACGAGCGTAAACCGGTGGTTCGGTTCTCAAACCGGTTCTGTTCACTGTGGACCGGTTCAACATTAACTAGTTTACCTGTTTTTTGACCGGTTCGGATCTTGAACCGGTTTTTTTGTGCACCTCTACCACCAGGTCACATACTAGACAAAGAAGATTTAATAGAAAAAAAGAAAAGAAAAGAAAAAAAATTATTTTTTTAACCTTGCAATCTCTAAGGAATCAAATGGCTAAGACGAATGAGTTTTTTTAATTAATAAATGAAGAAAAACATTTCTTGCAACCACTCACCAACCAAATGGTTGTGTCCAATTTGGTTCATCAAAAAAGATGTCATATGTCAAACAAGCATTGATTATTCCTTTTGGATATTTTTTAAACGATTATTTAAATTGTAAAATTTATTTTGGGTGTGTTTGACAAAACTAATTGTAGCGGATAGTAAGTATTGAGTAATGGGTAGCTGGTAGCGTTGTTTTGTTAACCGCTACTTGAGATAATTTTTAGATTTAAAGCATTTTGTTTAAACTAAACGTTAAAAAGCTTGTAACGTCAAATGTGATTTTTTTTTTTCAAAACAGAATGTTTTGTAAAAAGATAGAAACTAGAAGCTCCCAAATAGTTCATGACAAACACACCTTTTATCATTTACATATTAAAAATTAAAATGTTGGTTATTATTCTTATATATAATATAAAAAAAAATAGGTTTTAAAAATAAATAAATTGTTTGTTTACTTTTTAAACAAAAATAGTTTTAATAAAAAATTGGAATAACTGGTCTTTGTGTCGGTTTAAGGAGAGAAATCATATTTTTTTCAACAAAAGCTGGGATAAAAATATTAGTAAAAATATGTATCAATGTACAATTATACACAACTACTACATATTACACAAGATATTTTCACCTAACGTACAGAAGGGATGAAGGGATAAACGTGAAAGCATTGTTTGAAGGCAATAGGCAATGGTAGGTGATCATTCTATTGGGTATAGCTGTGTAAAGTGGCAGAAATGGTGGATTTAGGGACAACACCAATAAGAGATTCTTGTTCCTCTCCATTCTTGAAGAAGAGGAGAGTTGGGATGGTTTTAATTCCATATTGTGTTGCTACGTTTGGGTAGTCGTCGGTGTTGATCCTGTAACACAAAGCCTTGCCGGCGTATTCTCTTGCCACTTCATCAACCACCGGCGATATCATCTCACGCTCTGGTGCCCAGAACTCCACCATCACTGCCATATCAGCGGCTACCACCAATTCAGTCCACGTGCACCCTGTTACTACTTCAACTACAAATCCATAAACACACACAAATCACTTAATTCCCCCATGTTTCTCGTTGGTACAACTACAAACTTCAAATCCAAAATCCAAAGATAGAAATTGGACCTTGATTTACAGCAGAATTACAGACGACGGGTGAACGGGATCTGCGGTTGAAAGTAGGGGCAGAAGATGAAGACGTTATAATGGAAGCTTTCATCGGAGGTTTCAATATGTGGGTGAAACAGCCATAGGGGTTATCCATGGAAATGAAACGACGATGGTTGTGTCGTTGAATGGACACGGTGGCTCTAGGCGCAAGCGCAACCATCTGGAAACACTTCTCCGCTGCCATCGCCGTTCTGTTATCGTATTCTGGAGCTTTTGTGGTTCCCCTTTCATATCTGATTTGCCATTAATTATTTGTTATCATTTTTGTTATTTTGGCGTTTTATTCCTTTAACAAAAAACCCAATACTTTTTTTAATGGTTAAATACGTATTTACGCATCGCATAACATCTTTTAGCAAATCTCGTTCCATCTTGAATCAACCGTTGTGATCCGTGATTCGTGCCATTACTTTGTTGGGTTTTGTCCATACAAACTTTATGAATTCCAGTCGACAACATATACACTAAAAATTGATGACGTATTGTCGATGAAAAATTTATTAAGACATTAACATTCTAGACATCTTGTCTACTTTAAATTGTGTTAATTAAAAAGCATTTACACTAAAAATGAAACGAGTTTTTAACCAAGATGAATTTTTGAAAAAACTATTTTCCAATATAGTATAGTTTTAAAAATATTTACGAAAATAGTTTTTTTTTTCATTTTACTTTTATTATTCAGTATTTCTTATTATCTTTTTACTTTAAATATATTTTTTTACTATCTTTTTTATTTTATTTTTAATATCACCCTTTCTCTTGATTAAAAATTCAGTTTTTTTTTTTTTTTTTTTTTTGGTAGATGAGTATAAGGAATATACAAAAATGAATATTTATATATATGACTACATGACTTATAAAAAATATATCTTACTTAATATCATAAAGATATATTAGATGTGAAATCAACCTAATATATAACACCACTAATATTTTGTGCTATTATTTCTATAACGCAATTATATACTTTAGTAACAAAGGTTTTTTTTTTATTGCTGGATCATCTTCTATTTTGATTACTTTTTTTTTTTTTTTAAAATTTTCTTTTTATTGCTTTGATCAAAGTTTTTTTTAAACAAAAAGAGAACTACATAAGTATATATAAAACTTTAAAATGGAAATACTTAGCCATAAAACAATTTGAAAAACCATTAGGTTTATTATAGAAAATAATCGTAAAAATTCCGTATAACTAGTCTAATGCACACTTGTAATTTTGGTTCATTAGATGCCTATTTGTTTGGTTTTTTTTAGTGTTTCTATAGTAATTAAGATGTTTTTTGGAGTTTTTTTTACATTAGAAAAAACATTATATAATGTTGAAGTTTTTGCATATTAAAGAACATTGTATCTCTAATGGTAAATTTAACTTAAGATAGCTAAAATTTATTGTTCAAAATGGTTTGTATAATTTGTAAAAATAATGTCAAAGCATTTATGTTAAACATAATTAAAAAAAAACTAAAATTTTGAAATAAGAAACTAAAAAACTGATTTAAAAATAAAATAAAATAACTAATATTTCAAAAATAAAATAAAAAAGATAATAAAAAACTGGAAAAAAATATTTAAAGTAAAAAGATAATAAGAAAAACTAAAAAATACAAGAAAAACATTATTTTAGTAAATATATTTTTAATAAGACATGTAGTCATATATATATATATATATATATATATATATATATATATATATATATATATATATATATATATATATATATATATATATATATATATATTCATTTTTGTATATTCCTTATGCTTATCCACACTTATTTTTTTTAAAAAAAAAAAACTGGTTTTCAAAACAAGAAAAAAGCTATATTAAAAATAAAATTAAAAAGATAGTATAAAAAAAGATATTTAAAGTAAAAAAAAATAATAAGAAAAATGAATAATATAAGTAAAATAAAGAAAAAACCCTATTTTAGTAAATAGTTTTAGAACTAGATTAGTAAATAGTTTTTTCAATAACCCTATTTTGGTTAAAAACTCAAATGAAACAATACCTCCTATAAAATTGAAATACTGTTGCCTTCTTTGATGATCCACATCAATATGAACCTACACATTGTAATTTACCAACATTAGTACAGAGTAACCCTACAAAGAAACAATGAAACTTGAAATTATATGAATAACCTTGCACTAGAAAGTAGAAACCTAAGAGTTGAACCCATGAATCCAACTTGAAATTATAGAAAAGTGAAATTCACTTATTAAAGTAATTAACTTTTTGGTTTGTTCATATCCGGATAACTATTTTTTTTACACATTTAAGTA